AAGGACCTGGAAAAAATGTGCAGGTTGGGTGGAGTGAGGGCCCAGAACCTGGCGTGTGTAAATCAGTCACTCTCTTGATGTCAATGGAACTACACTCACTGACCCCAGCAGCCAGATCCAGCACCATTAAGTCACTGCATTGACTCCAGTGGGAGCAGGATCGGGCCCTCTCAGAGGATCTGGCCTAAAGTCTATAAAAGACTCTCAAATGGTGCATAGACCGTGTGTTGCATGGGGACACATGGCACCCACTGGACCCAGTTCACCATGGCCCCAGTGGCATGAAACGCTAGCAGACCAGCAGGGTGATGTCCTGGGGTGAGTGACTATACGAGGGGCAGGCAGGCATGAATATGCTCACGCTGGGAGCTTGGCACCATTCCACAGTCACAGGCTAGCTCCTGAATGAGGCCTGGACATTGCAGCGGGGGAGTCACTAGATGGAGCCGTGGGAGAGAGATTTATTCTTGCCTGAGGGGAAATCTCACAGCCCCCTGGAAGCAGAGCCCACGCAGGCTAGTCCCGTGTGTGCTCTGAGCTCCTGTCCCAACCTAGCCCCCATGCAGATCTCATGGCCGCTCTCAAATGAATTGCATTCAACTTGCCCCTCATTCCCTGAGGCAGGGAAGTGGCAGGAGAAACCCAGCCCTCTAGACAGCATCCTGCCCCGGTATCCTTCCCAGGGCCCAACCCCACCTGCTTTCTGCTCCCACTGCCCCCTCCCCAGCATGCGAGTTACAGCAGCCTTAGTGCAGCCCTCAGGCCAGCCCCAGAGGATGCCCTGGCAGCAGCTCCTACTGCCCGCATGCCAAGCGCTGTGTGGGAGCCGGTCCAGGCTGGATGTCAGGCTGCTGGCGAACGCTACCCATATGCCAGCAGTTCAGACAAGCCTGGTTGTCCCTCATGCTGTTCCATGTGCCTCCACTGACATCACTCCTGCTCTCACACCTACAAGAAGGCAGGCAGACCCTGATCTCTGCATAACCCCTCCCACTACAGTGCTGCTGCTTGCTGCAGGGAGAGCGGGGCAGAGAGTAGCTGAGCTTCCAGTTCCTCCACCTCACTCTGCCTGGCTTCCTGGCTCCCCCTCCCTCCCACACAGAAAACCTGGCTACTCTGTGGCTTTTAAAACATTGTAACTCTGTGTAAAACTGGGCTGAGCATTATCCCTGTCCAACCTCTGCAAGCGGCCCCAAGCCTCTGATCTGGGCTCTGGATACAGACTAGCCCATGGTCTAGCAGCACTCGGAGCCAGCACGGGTGTGGTTGGTTAAAGAGATGGGAGACAGCCACATCTTTGTAACCAGTCAAGGACGGAGGGAGTTCTGTGCAGCTCCTGGCATGACAGAGTCCCTGATCTCAGGAGCAGGAAGAGGGTGTGCCCAGCACAATGGGACCCTGATTTTGATGTTGGGCCTCTAGGTGCCACCAGCATACAAATAACAGTGAAATCAGAAGAACTCTGTGAATTGCTTGAGAAATGATGGGACCTAGGGAGTCAGCTCCAGCGATCCCAGGGGTCAGCATATTCAGAGACCCTGAGGGTGAAGGCTGGGTTGGTACCTGAGTTGATAAACCAAGAGACCCAAAATTCATGACAAGGAAAAGCAGAATGCCATTGGGCACAGACTCTTAAGGTTCTGTGTTATTAATTCCCATCTGGGAAAATTACATGATGCAAATGATGTGTATGACCTGCCCAGGCTGAGTCCAGGTCTTTGTCCCCCTCCAAAGACTAGTCAGCCTATGAGATGAAAAGCCTACTGTGGTGGCCAGCTAGAGAAGCTGCTCCTTTAGCTCAAGCAGAGAGAGCTCATGCTTTAGCCCTGAAGGGATGTTTACACGGCAGCTGGGAGTGTGCTTCCCAGCTTGAGTAGACAGACATGCACTAGTGCTCAGAATACCTGTCCAGATGTGGCAGCATGGGCTAGTGGCCCAAGGGGTTGGATGGGCTTGAACTCAGGTGACCCGCCCAGGCTGCTACAACATCCACACTGCCATTTTCAGGTTGCTAGTGCAGGCGGAGCTAGCGTGTCTGTCTACCCAGGCTGGGAGGCTCACTTCCAGCATCAGTGGAGACAGGCCCAAAGAACCAAGGCCCTAGAAGATGGCTGCTGTAGGAAAGTCTATTGAAGTGCTAGGGCAAGCTGAGAATGCTGCTTTGGTGGGATAATGATCCCTCTCCCCATGAACATGCCCAAATTTCAAACCCTTCTAGTCTCTCCCACGTTGCAGCCCTCCACATGTCACCAGGGCCAGCAGCTCTTTAGGATGAATAACAGTGCAAATCTCAGGGGATATTCTGGGCCAGCACCACTTAACAGCATGGTGCAGTGGGAACAGGAGCAGGGCCTACAGTAACTTCAACTGCACCTGAGGGTCAGATATGTCCTTACCCAGGCACCTGAGACTGGCTCAGATCAACTTGCCTGCAGCAGTGCCCCCTGCCCTTAAAAATCTGGGATGAATCAGAGCATGAGCCAGCCTTGGCCTCTCTCTCTTCAGGGAGATCCATGCGCGGAATATTCTCTCTTCCCTTATGGTGGTAGGATTTGTCGTTAAACCTCCCCCCCCCCACCCCCGACACACAGTCTCTCCCTTTCCTCCCCCTAAAGCAGAGATAATTACTCAGTTACTCATGCTTTACTCAGGCCAACTCCATGTGCCTGGGGGGAATTTGTCACAGGGAGCAGGGACCATGCAGTGCACACAGGACTAAGGGTTTGGTTTTGTTCTGTTGTCCCCATCACCACTGAGAGCTGGGGTAGTTTGGCCCATGACTTGTACTGAAATGTCACTAGAGCAAGGCAGATGACTTGGCCTGAGGCTGGAGTTAGAGCCCCCACCCTGGGCAGGAGAACTTGCAGGATTTCAGGCTCTGCTGGGAAACCAATAGGTGGGCCTTTCCTCTCGCCATAGAGCTAGGGGATGCTGTACTGCAGGAGGAGAGGCAACGACCCCGTGATATGTTTTGCAAGAGCAGGGGGGTTAACTCTAGTGTCCTGATTAAATCCCAAGCTAGGTAATTACATTCTTCTCACCCAAATCCCTTCTGCAGCTCCAACTGCACATGGCATTCTGCTTTACTTCCTCCCTAAGCCCTTGTATAGTGTTGCTGTGACTTGTTAAGGAGACACTGTGCTCCCCCCAGAGGTGGGTGCATCTCAGTCGCTACCGGCTCGTTAATTACGTGCTTTTGGATGAAAAGGGCACAGAAATTCAAACCATCCAAGTGACAGCAGGATAGCTGGGCAGTGGGCCGACCCCAAGGCAGCTTCTGCAATTCTTTGCTGATGGATGTGGTCAGGGAAATACATTCCCCCAAATGCTCCTATCAGCCAGTGGACAGAGCTCAGCTGCACGGTGTCTTTGCCAATGATGGTCCAGAGATTCCTCACCCAATTCCTGTGCACTTTCAAGCCCCACAAATGTCATGTTTTGCTATTAACCCTGAACATCCCTTGCTGGCATCTGTGCTGGCTCCTGCCTAGTTCATTTCTGCTGCCACAGCACTGTTTATCCCTCATTTGCTCACTGGGGTAGTTATTTATTACTTAGCAAACTTTTCTCAGAAGTGGGAGGGACTTGGGGAGTTGATGGAGGTCGGGTTGGGTTGGAGTACACTGAGGAGTATTTTTTACTAGGGCAGGTAATGCAGTGCCCTAACAAACTGGGTACTATTGGCAGGTTACCCTGGGCACGGTTGGTGGGAATTCGCTTTTGAAGGGATGTTAATAACTTGGAGCTTTTCAAATTCTAGAATGGTTGGAACAGGAGAAAGAAAGAAAGAAAGAAAAAATCTCCTGATCTGGGGATTGTAGCACGTTCTGTCCCTTCCCAAACTCTCTTAGCAAAAGCCAATGGCAGGAAAATATTTCTCCTGTGCAGCCCCAACAAAAGGCAGAACTGAGATGTTGGGGAAATACCCTGTTCATTCATCTGCCCGTCTCCGGGTTTGCGTCCTGCGGCGGGTTTGCCCTACGACACTGCTTTACATACCACAGTGGGAACTTCCATCTGCCGGTGGCTCAGTCAGTCTGAAGTGGAAGTGGAAGAATTTCCAAGCCACAGACTTTCACCCCATGGCAAGCATTTAAGGGATTGTTGGTAGAAGCAGGAGCCCCGTGCAGTGCACAGCTGGGAACAGCTCCTATCGCTCCATAGGTCCACCGCTCCAGCCTCGTCTGGCTAATCACCGCAACCCCCCTCCCACAAATCACCCTGCTAGCCGCTGACCGGATTCTAATGCTAACGCGCTCCTGTGTCCCAAGGGCTCCGCAGCTGTCGGTGACTAACGGTTTCTCACCATCGGCCTGGCGCGGGGGGAGGATTTGGGAGGAATAATTAATTGGTGGGGTCGCACCGGTGCTTTCTGCTCACAAACAGCTCTAGGCTTCCCGGCGCGGGTCATCGCTTGAGCTTAGCGGCCCCACTTTGGGCCTTGTGCCAGAGCAGTTCGCCGAGAGCATCTGTTATTCAAACAGCCAGGGGTCCGCTTGGACACGCCACTCACCCGGCACATGCCCGCTCCCCGGTGGGGCCAGGGGCAGGGCTCCCAGTCCCAGTCCGGAGTCTGAACTTCAGCTTTCCCGGCAGGGGTCTGCCCATCTCCGCAGAGGGGCATCCCCCCGTGCCCAGCTTCCCCAGACGCCTGGGATGTGCTAATCAAGGCGGCTTCTTCGCTCCGGCCATCAAGGGGCAGGTCACCGCCGAGCCCTGGGTGCAGGCAGTGCCGCGTGCCCTTGCCGGGACCCTGACAGCTACCCGCTCACCCTCTCTGGCTGTGCAGCCCCAGTTCCCGGCTCCTGCGGCCGCCTCAGCCGGGCTGGGTCCCGTCGCTGGCGGCTTTAGAGGGGTGGGACAGACCGCAGCCAGCCCCGTGTAGGTCCCAGCTCGCCGCGGTCGCACCCTTTGCCCCGCTCGGGGCCCTGGTTGTCTCGCCCGGGGGCCGGGCACTGGGCCGGTCCCGCCCGCGGGGAGCCCAGAGGACGCAGCCTTACCTGCCGGCAGCGCAGAGCGAGTCCCCGACGGTGCCGCTGTCAGCGACCGAGCGCCATGCCGCTCCGCCCGGCCCGCGGGTTCAGCACCAGGGCTCTGGCCAGCTCCAACCTCCCCGCCGGACTCGGGGCTTCCCCCCTGCGCCTGGCCCAGCCTGCCCCGCCCGGCCCGAGAGGTCCAAGATCACAGCCCGCCAGGCTGGGCTGCTCCTTCTCGGCCACTTTCAGGACCACGCTCCCCTCTGGCAGCTCCTCGGCTCTGCTCAACGCGCCGGGGCCGCGGCAGTTTTGAAAGCTTCCCCGGGTGCAATTTCTGCACCACTGAGCCGGCGGGTAACTCCTCCCCTTTCCGAGGGGCCGGGAGTAACCTGGGGCTGGCTCCTCCTGCTGGGCAGGCCGGTCCCTCCGAGCGTTCCTCGCAGCCCGGCCCGGGCACAGCGCTGCTCCGAGTCGGGGCGTTGTACTCTGTAAGGCAGAATGCGTGGGGTTAGTACAGCACCGGGCACCCAGTGCCGGGCCCGGCCTGGGGTTCCTAGCAGCTACCAGCATCCTCAGAGCAGGCTAGGGACCATCTTCACAAGCCCCTAAGTGCCACTGATTTTCCCATTGACTCCAGCTCCTAAATGCCTGGGTCCCTTTTGAAAATGGGCCCTAGGCTCCTAAGTCACTTCCATGCTTTTGAAAATTGTATTGGTGGCCTATAATCATAATGACCTTCTAGCTAATCTGTTGATTTGTCTATCTATGGCATATGCCATATTAAGAAACCTCTCTCCATTATTCGCATTATTATAATTAATAATTATATAATTAATGATGATGATTAATAATAATAATAATAGTAGCTCCCATTCCGCTCCCCCCATCCAAGAGTAATTTTCAATTTGCTAATTGTTCCCAGGTGAAAGCCAAAGAGCGGTTGTCAAATTACTTTAGATTTTGTTTAAATACAGAGTAGGATCTTTCAAAGAATTGCATGACTTTGGCTTTAAATGCCCATGAAAATAGCAGATTAAAAACAAATGGAACATTCCCCTGTGTTATTAGAAATCCAAATTCAGCAGTATTGGGGCTGAGCATGGAGAGGTGGAAAATGAAGTTGACAAGAAACTGATCACAGACAAAATGAAACTGCCTGGGAGATAATGTGTGGGTGCAATTGGGTTAAGGCAATGGGCAGGGGCTCAGGACACCTTGGTTCAATCCCTGGCTTTGATACAGAGTCCCCATAGGACCTTGGGGGAGTCACATGGACACTCTGTGCCTCAGTTCCCATCTGTAAAAGCAGGTAAATAATTCATAGATTTTAGGGTCAGAAAGGACCATCCAGTCAGAGCTCCTGCATAGCACAGGCCAGTGAATGCACCCAGTGACTCCTGGGTCAACTTCTGGTTGAGCCAGAATGGATCATACCGAAAGAGACAACCCCTCTTAATTTAAAGACTCCAAGTGATGAACAATCCACCTGTCCATTGGTCTGTTGTTCCAGTACCCATCCTGTGTCTGTCTTGCCTATTTAGAGTGTAAGCTCTTTGGGGCAGAGACCACTTCATACTACATTGCCAACTCGAAAATCATGAATCAGGTCTAAAATAAGCATGAGGTTAGTTTTAAAAGAATAATAAAAAATAGGGTTCTTTTTATTTGCCTTCTGGTTTTTGAACCTGTTGGTCATGATCCAGTCACATTTCCAGAGTTTTATCTTCAACCACAAGGGCAAGAAACTTTCTTCTTATTCAATGAAAGCTGAGATTCTCATGTGACCACTGGACTCCTGGAGCTGAGTCTTTAAGAAAAGCACCAAAGATCATGCGACTTACAACAGAATCAGGTGTGTTGGTAACACTGCTCTTGCACTGTGTCTGTGCAGCGCCTGGCACAAGGAGGCCCTGATCTCAGTCAGGGTCTGTGCAGCGCCTGGAACAAGGGGGCCCTGCTCTCAGTCAGGGTCCATGCAGGGCCTGGTATAAGTGGGGGCCCTGATCTTAGTCAGGGTCGGTGCAGCACCTGGCACAATAGGGTCCCAATTTCAGTTGGGCACCAAGTGTTCTCAACCTCTTTGCATTTCCCTGTGAATGGGGGGTGCTCAGGCTTTCTCTCAGCCAGGCCTGCATCCCCGCATCATCCAGGTCAGTGTTAGCCAGGGCCCTGGGAGGAGGAGGATGTGAATGAGGTTGTTAACACTTGATGCCATGTCTTTCTGTGTGGCCTGCTGTTTGGTGTCCTTGGCTTGGGCACATAGTACACTTGTTTGGGAGATTCCCTGCCTATGCCAACACTGAGGACACTTCACATTAATTTAGAGCGTGCACACTCATTTCCTTGGGAGCCTGGGATTACAGGGAATACTAATTAATTCATTAGTGGATTGATGCCTTAGGTTCCACCTCTAGGCTTGGATGCTCAGGGTATGCAGGGAACAGATTGCAGCCAATAAATCTGCCTGTTGCCACACTCCCCCCAGCTCTGTATCGAATATCACCCTCTCCCTTCCTGGCAGATGGTTCCAACAGGTTTGGACTCCTGCCTCTATTTGGAAATATACAAAGGAGGAGAGCGGCCGACCAATGAGATGAATCTGGTAGCAGGAGTGGTACATGCAAATGTCCCTGCTTTTCTGGATAGCCCCGGCCCCTGAAACGTCTGAGTCTCAGAGAATGAGCAGCAGTCTGCCTGGCCTCCTCTGGGCTGAGTCTGTGTGAGTGACCCCAGTGAACTAATGGGGGAGATCATGGCCCATTGTCTGCAGACAGGCTCCCTTTCATTGCAGAGCCGGAGGAGTCCACGTGCCACAGACTAATCCTATTGTGAGGAGACTTTACATCTGTTCGAGTTAAGGGGGACTCGCCCCCTGGGAGCTTTCTCTCAAGATGTTCACCTTTCCGCTCAGATTGCTGGCTCCTCCTTGCTCCCCCTTATGAATAATACTGGGGGTCTGGCCCTCCTTTCAGGACAGGTCACACGCCAGAGATCTTTGAAACAGAGGCCTCAGCATGGAGTGTGACACAGAGGGAGATTGCCCCAGCTTGGTTCCATCGAGTGTAATAGACACACTCCAGCGAGCCTTTGGTAGGGCTCAGCATGTCCCAGTGCTGCCTCCACCCTCCAGAGTAGAGAATCAGATCCTCATGCAAACCTCTCCAAAGTTTGTTATAGGGCCAGAGTTGGTACGTGGACATGGATTTCCCCATAGTTCAGGGGAGTTCAGTTGTGGGGCTCAGTTACTCTCCAAAGGGAAGTCTGGACTTTGCAGTGGGGACAATGTGAGGGCAAGGTCCTGGGCCAGCTTTTACTCAAGGGAAGTTTTTCAAAGTAGGGGCTGGGACTTGGCAACCCTTGATATCTACACAGCAAGACCAAACCCACAGCAGGGAGTCTCTGAGCCCGGGTCAACTGACTTGGGCTCGCGCTCTGGGGCTGAAAATTGACATTCAGGCTTAGACTGGAGGCTGAACTCAGAGACCCTCCCCCCTCTGGGTTTCACAGCCCGGGCTCCAGCCCGAGCCTGAACACCTACATGGCTATTTTTAGCCCAACAGCACAAGCCCCGCACATAAACCCGAGTCAGTTGACCTGGGCTCTGAGATTCGCTGCAATGGATCTTTTTTTGCTGTGCTGACATACCGATAATGGGACAATGCCGATGAGGTGAAGGAGTGTCTGGGATGGTAAAGGGAACATGGAACAATTTCAAAAATGCCTCAAGCCCAGATTTTGAAAGCAGTTTAGGCCTTGCTGAGTTCAGCATTGCAATTTAGGAGCCTATGGCTCATTTTCAAAGGGGGGTTGGGCACTCCTAAGTGGCTAAGGTCCAGATCCACAAAGATACTACGGTGCCTAAGGCCAGTTTTAGGCTTCACTGCAACCGCCACCTAACCCCACAGGTTCCTAAACTCACTCAGTGCCTACGTCATTGGGGGGAAAGTTCCCTAGGCACCTATATTCCTGGCAGCCCCAGAGAGAGCCATGAACCAGAGGAAAATAGGCAGAAGAGTATCTATATCACCCATGGGCCCTGATCCAGCAGGTGTGGTCAGAAGCTACCTACTGGATAAGTTCCCATTGAAAATCCAGCCAGAGGAGGAGGAGGTGATGGTGCCCACCCTATAAGGGTTAAGACATGACTTGGTTACAGTCTATAAATACCTACACAAGGAGCAAATATTTGATAATGGGCTCTTCATCTAGCAGAGAAATATCTAACACAATCCAAAGGCTGGAAGTTGAAGCTAGACAAATTCAGACTGAAAATAAGGCATACATTTTTAAAGTGAGAGTAATTAACAAGTGGAACAGCTTAGCGAGGGTTGTGGTGGATTCTCCATCACTGGCAATTTTTAAATCCGGATGGGATGTTGCTCTGAAAGCTCTGCTCTGCGGAGTATTTTGGGGCAGGTCTCTGGCCTGTGCTGTACAGGAGCTCAGACTAGATGATCACAATGGTCCCTTCTGGCCTTGGAATTGACAGAAGCCTCTAGCCCGGGGGTAGAGCACTCACCTGGCAAATGGGCGACCCAGGTTTAATTCCCCCATCTGCTTGAGGGGCAGAAAAGCTTTGAATGGGGCCCTCACCTCTGGGATACTCTGATGTGAGGCTCCTTCAATCTCTCCTGTCCAAACTGTTCCACTGTAGATAAATAATAAAAGTCACGGGGCCAAGGAGAGGATGACTATGCTAGCCAGGCAGTCAAGGCACATGCCTGCCAACTGGGAGACTCGGGATCCTGACTCCAATGGTTAATCACTTATACAAAGTGGAATACCCCAGCAGGAGAGACTGAGGGAGCCCCACGTCAGAATATTGCCTAGCCCAGTGGCTAGAGCACTCAGCTGAGACAGACCCCTGCTCACATCTTCTCTGCCAGAGCCCGGAGTCTTGTACCTGGGCCTCCCACATCCCATGCTAGTGTGTTAACCAGCGGGCTAAAACCAGCCAAAAAGCACCTCCTCATGTTTTTTTTCTGTGTGGATCAAGGCACGTGCCTTGCTCAGAGAAAAAGCTTAGATGCCTAAGCCACTGGCCTCTGGGAGAGGGCTTCCTGGTTAGCAGAGATAGCCCCTATTTAAGTGCCTAGGTCCGTTTGGGGTGGGGCTTAGGACACACCCCTCCTTCAGCATCTCCCATTGGTTGGCTTAAGCGACTCCTTGCCTGGTGTGCTGACTTTGGGGGTTGCATTCTGAGGTACCCTTTTCTCCCCACTCATTGTACAGCAGCCTGGGGGCCTAACTCCCGTTGTTCTGTGATTTTCTAGGTGTCTAAAAGTTAGCACTGCAATGCCGAGCATCCCAGTGCCCGAGAGCCTTTGTGTGTCTGGGCCTA